ATAAACTGCAAAGAACTGAAAGCTACTTATCGTTAAAGAGAAGCTTATGTGTATTGGTCTTCCTACTAAGATTTTCAGTGTTATTATCTTTTTCCTTTTGTAAATTGGAGAAAAAGCTTGTCTGCCGCTATCCTGGGGCCCTCAGTGAGAGCTGAAGCTTTAGCACTGGCTGTGCCAGGACAGCCAGTGAAGCAACTGAAACTCACGGTTCACTTCTACTGCTGGGATTAATTCCAGTGTAAAGTGATGATGCAGTTAAAATTCTGAAGTATGTTTCTGGAAAGTTGCCAGTAGTTTCCAGATCCTGAGACCTGCAGGGCAGAGCATCAGCTCAGAAACATGCAGGGCTTGTGGAAAAAAAAATAAATTATATATATGTAAGGGGTTTAAAATAATGTAGATGCTGTTGTAATGAATGCATTTCCTGGAGTACTGATCTCAGCTGCAGTATGATGTACAGTTACTTAAAAAATCTGGGAAGTCCTGGAAGGACAGAATGAAGAAATAGAGATAGAGGTGGAAATGGCACACATTGAGAAACAAGGTAAAAAATGAAGATTGTTGAGGTTGAAGAAGAAGTCTGCCTAAACCTGATAACTAAAATAAGGGTAATGAAACTATTTTAGGAAATGCTTTCACTATCTGTGGTAAAATAAAAATCAACTATTTAATCCTTTAAAAAACAAAAACAAAAAAAAACAACCAACAACGTATTGTTCATATCAGGACAAACCAATGGCTCGCTTCATGTCTTGTTTCAGACAGTGATCAGGAGCAGTTGTTTAGGGAAAAAATGAGGGAAAGTGCAGAACAGCAGTGTAGTCCCAGCTAGAAAATGGGGTGATGAACTAGAAGAAGAATTTCATGTCCTCCCAGAAAACAGATGCACCGTTTGTAGTTGTGAGCTGTTCTCTGCATGGACAGGAAGTTCACACGTACCTCTGTTTTACCATAGCACTCTGTGTAACACTGCCATTTCTCCCAGTACTTTTAGTTTCTTCAAGTACGCTGGTTTAACAATGAGCCAACACTTAGCAGTGGCCCTCAGCAATTTTCAAGGTGACTGTACTTTTAGATACTGCATAGCAAATTACAGTGGCAGATGACTAACAGGTGAAATCCAATGCAAAGATTTAAAGAGTAAATCGTGTTATTGCTTTAAGTACCAATGTAATCTTTCTAGGCATGATAATGTTTTAAGGCAAGCATTATTACTGTGTCCTAAAAGGGCAGATCTACTGATTCTGTCTGCTTTAGGCAATCAATAAGTTGTTTTGCCTCTTAAGAAGTGTAAGCAATTGAGGTGCTAAGAAAAAATAAGAAATTGTCTTTAATTGCACTGAAACTATGTATTTGTTACACACCAAATCCAGTACTGATGATTTCTCTCCCACTCTGCTGCAGCAGCAGAGAACAGCAAGATGTTACAGAGAGGCCTGTTGATGGAAGAAAATCTGAGCAGGGCTTTTTCTGAGGATAGCGTGGCTGCTACAAGCATGGGTTAGTGGGGCTGACCAAAAGCAGTTAGGTATTACAAGTAAGTGGCAACAAATGTGTTGCTGTATTGCTGGTAGCCACCAGAAAACCTCTTCTGTCATGATAATGAGCGAAAATGTTTCTCTAAGTGTCTTAGTTAAAAACAAGCAGCACTAAACCTGCTGCCCACCTGCTTACAGAAGCAGTTTGGAGAGTACCTGGCATCTGAATTGGATCATGCCAACTAGCAAAGCGTGGCAGAGTTGTTTCCAAAAGCAAACAAACAAATACAGAAAATAACTGGGAAAAAGATAATCCCCCATCTGCTGTGGACAAAGCGTTTAAAGTGAATTTGTCTGATCTGGAATGAATTACAGTATTGTGCGTAGGGGAAAATTACTTAAGTGGCTCTTCACTGCAGCACAGTGTTAATTTAAGGCTGTGTTATTCCAATGATGATTTAAAAAAAAAAATCAGTCTGTTCTGATGTTCTGACAACTTGTCCACTCGAAAGTCCTGTGCAGATTATTTTCTGTTTGAAAGCACTTTCACAGAACTCAATTCTCGCTACTCTTGCTGTTAATCTAGAAAAAAGTGCTGTGCACTCCCAAGTGGAGTTGGAAAAGGAGCATGTCTCTTTGTGTTAGCTGTCCTTTGTCTGGGAACAAATAGAAGATAAGGGCTGCAGCTCTGTAGCTGCGTGCTGATAATTTGTCCCTTACAGTGCAAGGTGAGACTGCAGATTGTCGTACAACTCACAGTGGCTGCTGTATTTCCAAGCCATCGCCCAGCTGGATCTCGATGCCAGCTCCAGGTGTTGCAGAGATGCTGTGAGAGATTGGGCTAGTGGTCACGTTTTGCTCTGGTTCTGTGTTTTTTGCCTTTCTGCCTGTGTAGTCTGCCCTTTACAGATAGATTCATTCAGCCTTTCAGATTTGTGCTCTGCATGGGATAGCATCTCCATTTTATAAGATGCTGTATATATAACTACTAGGTAAAGCATGCACTCGTGATGCATATCTGATATAGCTACAGGTGTTCTGCTGTCTGGCTGCAAGAGCAACTCTGCATTTTAATGTATTGGATGTTTTTCCATGTAAAATTGGAGCGGCTTAGCTGAATAGGCTGCAGTACCCTGGAGAACTCACTTCTGTAAGCTGGAGGCCCCAGAACAGCTGCACAGACAGCTAGGCCAGGCAGGATGGCAGCTGCTTTGAAGGCAGGGAGAAGAGAGACATTCTGAAACTTAAAGGTAACCCATCTGTTACTCCCAAACTAGTGATGGAATTCATGGAGTCTGGATTAGCTAACAAAACTTCTCATTTCACAAAGCTGACACTTCACGGTGTTTCTCATATTTGCAGCAAGCTTATCTTGAAGTCATCATCCAAAAAAAGTGTTTCCTAAACCAGAAAGAGCAAGCTCTCCCTCTCTTAGCTGTTATGCACCGCTTAGTTCTCCCTCAAGGAGCGGTCTTGGAGTCCCTGTGTATTTGTATGCTACGCTAAACAAAATGTGAGTGGGGAGGACTAGAGCTGTATTTGTCTCATCTGCTTTCATACAAAGGCACTTTTAGTCCAGTGATTACCTCTGCCAGAAACCTCGTTCTCAACCACATCTTCCCAGCAAGCATTCTGTGTTTTATCTTCTAATGTATGTCTGAAAGTTTATAAAGCTTTAAGGAGACAAAGAAGCAGCTTCTACAAACTGTTGGATTTTCACAGGAGTGAGTTTCTGTGTAAATTCTTCACTTGGGTTCAGCTGCTTTTCTTGCCCTCGTTCTCTGTGAGGCCAAGTGTTGTGAAGGCAGCCTCTGAGCTTCATCTGAGGAGTTCTCTTCCAGAGAGCAAGATTCCATCAACAGCTGAGCCCAAGAAACACTTCTTGAGAATCAAAAACAACATATATTTTTATAGAAATGTGTATTTTAAAAATCTGTTTCCTGCAGCTTCTCCATATGTATTTTTCCCCTTGTAGTTCAGATTTGATAAAAACTTTTTTGTTGAGTTCATTCTTTTTACGTTGTTTTTAAATTTGTAGTCGAAGCTTTGGTGTACTGTACAGGAGCAGTCAGCCTTTGTAATTACTGTATAAATGCTTTATAATAAAGTATATTACTTTTAGCAAGTGAGCAGACACTTCCTTTTGTGTGTTTGCTGCCTATTGGCACCTTTTAAAAGACTGTTACATGTTAAAAATGTACATATATAAATATATTTACCTGTTGCTGTACAGTTGTGATAGACTGGACTGAATTTATTTTTTGTGTGCTTTTTTTTATAAAATATTAATACACTAAAGGCAATCTTGCTGATGTGATTGTAATGTACTATGTAACTTATTTACTTAATATCCCCTATATATCTAAGAAACCCTTTTATTAAATGAGGTTTAAAAATAGTCTCAGAGGTGAGGGGTTTTTTTTTTGATACGAAGTGGTGGCTGCCAGGCTCAGGCTGGTGGTTTGTTCATACACAGGAGGCAGCTCTGAGTCCTCTTATGAGTCATCTTAAGCAATTCCGCTCTCTGATTGTATTTCCCTCTGTTTTCCACAGCAATTACCAGGACTGTTTCTCAGTATTCTCCTTGAAGATACCCGCCTGCGATGTATTTTAGGTCTTAGGTACAAGAAAGACTCTAGAAAGTATTTGGTGTCTATATAGCTCTGTTTGCTTTACAGAAACACTGGTGGTGTGTCCAACCCAAGCAAGCAGTAAATGAAGACAGATGAATTCTGCTTCTGATGTTACGTAAGCAGCTGCAGAGCTGAGGTGGCATGAAGTGAGTTGGTGCTTGAAGGGTGTGTATTACATCTGAACTTCTGAATAGTTGTAGGTGGGACAGAGGGCAGTACATCCAGGTGAAATACAGCTGGAACTGCTGGGAAAAGAGGTAATGCTTCTTGCTGTTCAGGAATTAAATTGGCTACATGTAGAAACAGTGGTAGGTTATAACTCAAAACCAGTTGTAATTCATATTTTATCATATTTTTCATTCTTAATGTTTAAATATACATGTTAGTGAATACTCTGTTAAGGGCATGTGTCTGTTACCTGGATCTATTTTTTTTTTTTTTAATATAGATATGGTAACATAGCATTGATCTAGCTTATTTCTCTGGTAATAGCTGGATTTCTTGCTGTGGGTTTTTAAACATCAATATCCTTCCCTCCATCCTCGAAGCAAAGCTTCCTTTGTTTTGGAAGCTGGCTGTTTATGCTGTTTATTCACTCCTTCTAACGTGTGGGCATGAAAGTTTTTAAAAGATGCTCCCTTGCAGAGATTGTAGCAATGTGCATTGATAGCTCACTGATCCCCTACAAGCTCTCAGTTAGAAGCTAAGAAGGCATACTCAGAGTAATTTCTCCTTGTTTTTTTAAGCTGACGAACTTGTATTTCCAGGATGTTGGCAAGGATGACAGGAAAAGGATTTAGTCGAGCAGCGTAAGAGCCCCTGCTTCAGCTGACTCCTGCAGATATGGATGTTGATCAGCAGTAGCATGTGAGGAAGTAAGTGGCAGTTATTTAGATGGCAAAGAAAATAATGCACTTGCCTCACTATCACAGCCTATGGGCAAGTGTTACAGGCTGACTGCACTGCACTAAAACTGGGCAAACGAAATTTGGATGATGGAAAATTAACAGTGGTAAGTTTAGGGCAGTTTGGTTTTCATCTTTTTAAAATGGGTAGATCCAAGGTTATTTCATCTACTGAGAGAACTTTATAAAGCACTTCAGTGATTTCTGAGCTCAAATGCATTTTGAGGGAGCAACATTATGAGGAATTTTGCAGTAATTCCCTAGACGTTTGTTTTTTCAATAGGCCTACAGCTATCAGTGCAGGATGATATTCTTATCCCTTTGAGGGTGACTACTGCGGGGTAGAAAGCTTTCTCATTTACATCATTTACATTTTCATGAGTTTTTAAACTACATTTCAGTGGCACTGTTTATTGAAGGCTGAAGTTCCTATTACAGAAGTTCATTAAGCACCAACCTTCTCCTGAGCTGGCTAAATGGAGTTGATTGTGTAATGCTATTCCCAGAGCTTGAATTCAAAGCAAACCTGTGATTTTTGTACTGAAAAAAAGACTTACCCTTATTTAATGTACTTGCAATTTTTTTTACCCCAAATAAAAATAGCAGACTTTTCTCTTAGGAACTAACAACAAATCTGACAACCAGTGTCTGTATTAAAAGACTGAAAAATATTTATGTATCAGATGACAACAATCACAATTAGATCAACATCTGTAAAGCCTAAATTATTTCCTATCCTAAAATATAGAGGCAATAAGAGACAGCATTTCCATACTATAAATACATTGCTCCCTGAGCAGCTAGGAAAAGTTAATGAGAACAAAAATTAATTTATGAAAATTCACCAGAAGCTGAGCCTATTCCATTACACAATAGCCAAAGACTTTTTTTTTATAAAATAGCATTGTTATTTTTAAACAAGTTTCACATAAGTTCATTTATAAATGTAAGCCTAAATAATTTAAACACAGCAACTTTAACAGTTTGGTCATGCTACAAAATTACAGTATACAAAATGTCATCAAAAGTAGATGTTAAAAAGTGCTTTCTTGCTTGAAGATTTTCCTAGATGGATCTACTCTTGTAATTTGAATCAGCTGCTGGTTCTCGGGTCTCTTCTCACATTTTTCCAGCCATTTGAAAGATAACCACTGCATACATCATCTCTTTGAAGAGAGGTCTATGCTAACAAGCAAGTAAAATACCTATTTTCTATCTCTTAATTTAATTGTAGGATATTTCTCTATATAATTAAGTGGATGCTAATCCTCCATAATTTCTGTGGGAAAAGCAGAATTCCACATGGCTTGCAAGTTTTACATGGGTGCTCTTCTCATCCATGAATAATAATGTGCTTAGGACATCATTAGATGTGGTGAGATGTGGAGGCGCAAAGAATAACACAGGAAGAATTCTTTCAGCATCTAACTGCTGCTCAGCCGCTCCCCTGGGCACACAGTCTGATCTCTGATAGTGTATCTGTGACGCAGTGCAGCTCCATCTGCATTGCAAATCAGTTGCTTAAATTCTATCATCTGTATCTTCTACCACATCCAGTGCATAATTTTTAAAGTGCAAATTTTAGAAATTGATTGAAACTTAATTTATTTGGGGCTAGTAAAGTCCATGGGATTTTGATTTGTGCTAGGCAGTAACCCACAATTCATCACATATAACATTAAGCTAAAACTCAGAAAAGGGTTAACTTACATGCAAAGGTTCTGCAGTATGCAGGAGGTTGAAAGGCAAAGGAAAATCTTCTAAGTTTACCTTGCTGCTGCTACAATTGTGCTGAGACTGGATGCCCTGTTCCTTTCAGTAATGACTGCTTTTATTTTCATATTTATAACGTAGTTGCAAAAAAAGAGAACTTGTGCTGTTAATTTGTGAAAAGAGCTGATGCCAACAGCCATATGCTATACCCAGCTCTACCAACGAACAACTGCAATAGTTATTGCTGGACTGATTAATGGTAATTAATCCGTGGAGCCTCAACTTGTCAGTTACAAGAGCCAGGAACCTCTTGGAGGTTCCTCAAGCCTTGGCAACGGAACTATCTCCACCTAGAATGCTAAAATTCTATTCTGTTCTCAGATTGTCCCACAATAGTCAAAGTAGAGTCTTTGCTGTATCTAATGCTGCCTTTGTAAATGTACAGAGTTAGACCATATTTAGATATTACAAAATTAACCAGTAGGATCATGTAGCACTGGACAACATTCTCATCTCTGTCTTGTTTCTTTTGAGGAGCTAATTAACTTATTTAATTAATTTAAGCTATACGTACCATAACTGCACACATTGGTTTTTGAAGGTGCAGGGATTTAAATGCGTTGCCTCTTGGCCAGAATCCATGCATATATTCTGCATATTCTATCCTGAAAACAGCTGCACACACATCTGAAATTGGCTTTTCTAGTTGTTGCTAACATTTGAAGTTCTCACTATAAGCACACTTTAATCACTTCATGCAAGGGCCCAAGCCTATTCCCTGTTGCCCTACCACAAAAGCTGAGGTCAGTGAAGACCATGTGTGCCCATAAGCTAGGTGCTCCTTCAAATCACATCCACTTTTCCAAAGCTGATTGGCTGCACGTGAACTGAGTTGGTTTTAAGAGGTCAACGTGAAATGGTTGTTTGCTGTATAATACTCCCTCCCTGTGTGTTTCTTAATCAGTGCTGCCTTTCCTAACGATAGAGCATAACACTAGAAGGAATTACAAGAGACTACAAAATCTGTAAAATAAATCCAGCTTTGGCCATTGTTCTTCTGACCTTATTTTAAGAAATGGATCTAAATGAAACTCGAGACTTATTTGTATCTGCCAGTTTAAGTTGGAATGCTTAAGCATTTCTCTAAAAATCCCAGAATAACAAGAAAGAATATATTGAAACTAGGCTCTGATTTCCTTGTAATCTTCACACCTTTTACTTAGATATTGATGAGCAATAGAATTATCTTCTACTAAAATTACACCTGGAGCTTGAGATCAATATCGCTGTCGCCTGGGTCCCTTCCACCCTTTTATCCCTGCCCATGACTTTCCAGGATATCAACCCCTGCCACTCTTTCACAAACAAAAGTGGTGTTCTGAACTTCGTCCCTTACATGTCTGCTCTAAAACCTGCAAGCACACTTTTCTAGTTTAAACAAAGATAATGCACTGAATTAGAAGAAAAGCTTAAAAACAATAAAAACAAGCTGCCAAAAAATCCACTTAGCTGAGTTGATCTATTTTCTAAAGGAAGTAGAGAGGAGGGAACATTTTTTGCATCCAACAGTGCAATTATGTCTGTCTTTAGCATTACATACTGCTTTTCACTAAAAATAGTTACCTGCCATATAAGGAGGTTCACTAAAACGGTTAACGTGCAACAGAGCATGTTTAGTACATCTTCAATACTTATTTTCCAATACCCATTTCCCACCTTGTCTCACCTTCCTCAGTAACCACATACACATTTCACTCATCTGTGCTTTAGAAAAAAAAATTAGTATCCCAAACCCTACCTTTTACATCTCAAGCCCAGGTCTCTTGTTCACTGTTTCTGAATTTGTTTCTGAGCCCACTTATAGTTGTATGAAAATTCCAGAGCTGAGAAGGATTATGTCCATCAGTGAGCCAAAACAAGACTGGGAACAGGAACCAGCTGTAGGCCAATAGTCTACTTATTCCAATCAAAATAATTTATAAAAAAGAGAAAAAAAGATACTTTAGTCTCACTGAAACCATGCAAAGAATTCCTACTGCCTCTTTAAAATAAATAACATCATATAAGTTATACATGGCCTTCTAAGCAATGAAGTTATGAGTTCCAATGCAAGAAGCCCAATTCAAAACTTGCAGTCCATAACAAGAGATCATGAGCCCATTACCTTTCTTGTGCGTATGTCCACAACTTCTGGGCCTATTTGGCATAATACTTAAGGGGATGAAAAGGCAAATTCACATACTTAAAATATTAAGGGATTCCCGTAACAGGATTAAACACAACAAAGTCTATAACATAGTTCTAAAATGTAACATTGTTCCTTTAGCAATGGTGTTTCAACTGAATGTTGGCCAGCTGCATCTAACAAGCTAAAATTGCTCTGTTGTAACACAAGAGCGAACAATAAGCACCACTAGTCAGGAATTAGGAATAGCTAGGTATTAGCTCAGGTAAAAGATCTCTCACTAACCAAACAAAAGATGAACTCAACTCCACTGGTCTCTGCAGAAGATGTCAGAAGCTTGACAAAACTGGTGTGCCTGAAGTTTGGTAAGTAACTCTTTGGGTAAGAGACTGTGGAGATAAGCTGGTCTTATAAAACTTGCCCAAAGCTTTTCTTCAAAACAAACGTTTATACAAAAGTTCTATGTGCTGAGCAATCTGGAGATATTTAAATTATTAAACAACCAACGCAAAAGTCTCATCAGTTTCCTCCTTCTTCATCTTCTTCTTGCTTAATAACAAGGATACCTACAAGGAAAAAAAAGAAAAGATCTACAGATTTATGAAGAGATTATGCAAGAGAGTACAGTTAATGGTGATCTGCTTGAAAGCCAATCTGGACTATCAAAACTAGGAAAGAGGCTGTCAGAAAGAGGAAATAATTCTATTTTCCTGCTGCTGTCCAACTCCTGGCTCCACACAGGACCACCCTAAAATGAGAACGTATCTGAGAGCGTTGATGCTTTGCATTTTTTTGATCTCTGGCAAGCTCAGTGCCATGGCCACTTCTCTGGGGAATAGAGTGACATGCTAAAACTATTTGTTTACTATTTGGCTGGTTAATTTCAAGAGTAAAGCCCAACCTGTGGGCTGCACACCACGTGGACAACTTTTCAGAAGATCCTGCAGCTGGTGCACGATTGCACAGATGAGGTTTTGAGGTTACAATTTATTTCCCTGATCTTTCTACTACGCTTGTCACTTCTTGTCACTTAGATCAGTTGCCTTGTGCCCCAAACTTACCATCCAGCTTTTTCAGCTTGGGCACCCGTTTGGTTGCTTCTTCAATCCAGCTGTTCTTCTGATCAGAGGCGTATTTCTCTTGCAGTGGATTGCCTACAAATACCAGATCCTCTAATAATGGCAGCTCTGCCAGTCTCGCAAACTCTGCTGCAGCCACAAATATGAAAACACCAACCAGATTATGAACAAGGAAAGGACATCTGCACCAAACCTTCCTTTCAAACTCCATGCACACATAAATAGCTTGGGATACAAACAGATAGGGATCATTTGGACTTGAACTGGGAACAGGTTAAGGAACAAGTACACATTTCAAAAGAAGTCCAAGCAAGGTGTTTCAAAGAACAAACTCCATTGGGCTTAGAGTTTAAATTCAATTTCCTATTTTTAATTTCTTGCATGAATTATTTAGGGATTCTGTGTACTTCTGCAGGTTTATCAGTAAAACTTAAGCCCCAGGACATGGAGAGCTATTTTTTTAACTTGCTTACTCATGCATTCACCATAATTTGTAGGAAGCTGCAGAATGGACTGGAATGGCTTACCCCAGTCTTTCACCAAATTATTGGACATGTAAAGAACCTTCAGCTTCTTCATTACACGGATACCCCTCAGTTTCTCAATGAAGTTGTACGAAATCCACAGCTCTTCTAGCGTATCTCCAACTGCTTCCTGGAAAATGACAGAGCTACTCAGGTAAGTGAAAGTAAGTCCTCATTCTTCAGACTCTCTTTTCTTCACCCCTGCAGGTCACCTCATGTAAGAAAATACTAAGATCTACTGGTCTTCATTTCCTTTTAAGCAGGTTTCTAGTTAAGTATTACAAATACGCACAGGAACAAGAGCAAAGGATGTGAAATATATTTAGGATGTCAAAAATCACAGTATTAGAACAAGAGAAGGAACAGCAGTTGTTCTTAAGGCATAGGGACAGAGGAGACAAATGTGGCCGTTTGTGCACACAGTGGCTGCTATTCAGCAACTCTTTCATTGGGGTTTTTATGCAGTACTAGGGAATGGTCTGTCTCAAGTGCACGTGTATTTTGGTCGTGTAGGACAAAAGTTGCTTTTATAACTCCCTCAAAAAGAGTGTTTTTATAAACCAGTTATTATAAATCGATTTCATTTTATGCTTAAGAGATAACAGCACCTCTAGAGGTGGCAATAGTTTTAAGCTGGAATATTCTGCAGGAGAAACACACAATACCTGAGAAGGAAGAAAATAATATCTATACTCATTTTTAACAAAGTCAATTGAAAAATATTCTGCTTTAATAGAGATATAATACAAATATAATAAAACTAATCCCATTTTTCCTCCAAGTATTCTTCCTATGCCCAGTAGATTCAGTCCCACCACGATCTTTTCCGCAAAAGCAAACAAACAAACAGACAAAAACTATCTCAATTTTCAGAAATCATAGGAAAGAGAGTAAACATACCATTGTGCCAGAATAAAATCAAAATTTAGGGAACAAAATTCAGCCAAGACTTATAAACATGGGGCAATTATCCCACATCCTGGATAGCGCTCCACTCGGTTAGTAAGGAGTTAATCAAGATTAAGATGCACATACCAATCCATTCAAGTTCTTAATATTATTTCTTCCCAAAGACAAAATCCTCAAATTTTCTGAAACAGATAACAGAAAGTTTCTCATTCATAAGTGATTTCTTAAGTATAAGAAGATGTTATAATTCAGGTAAAACTCCATACTCCTAAAAAACCTACATTCCAAAAAGATTGTCTTAAGAAAGAATGACACAACAGAAATAAAAACTGACGATGACTGGGAGTTGATGCAGAGGATAACCCAGAAATGTGCTCACAAGTACAGAGTTGTTCATTTGTAGGTTACCTACTGAAATTCAGTCCACATAAATACTGAAAAAAACTAGAATTTCATCCTACACCTGAGCTCTGTTGGCTTGCTAGCACTGATTTCACATAGTTCTTACCCTTTCTTTTCCAGGTTAAAAAATAAAATTGTTCTAATCTCATTTCAGTGCTGTATAGAGGTAGCATATAAAGCTGTCAGACTGAAGTCTGATAAGAAATATTTCAGCTTAATTTAGAACCCTGACAAATAAGCTTCTGAAGTGAGCTACTCTTGCTGGAGGTTAGTGTAATATTAGTGTAACTCAAATCTATGACAAAATAGCAGTCTTTCCAGAAAACTCCTTTTCAGTATTCACATAAGCTTTCTTGCAGGTATAAACAAGCAAATAACTAATAACTACAATAACTAACGGTGAGACTAATGAATGTCCCAGTCCAGTAGCAACGGGCTGCAGAGATAGCAATGTAGTGCCTGGAGATTGCTACAGATAAAGATTTGAGGCTGATCTAAAACAGGTAGTTGTATGTTCTATCTCCAGGAATGCAGGGATGAAACCACAACTGGCAGACGTTCTAAAACAGAAAAACTAGTTAGAAAATAGTTAGAATAAAAATAGTTAGAAACTAGTTAGAAACTAGTTAGAAAAAATATGAGGCACAATCAGAATTCTTTTTCTCTTTAAATGCAACAGCTTAACACATGGCCATGGCTCAAAATATGAAAACTCATCATCAGTCACAGTCTAAAGTCAGCTACAGCTAATATTCTCCAGACTATCCCTACAGTTCCCCATCCACAGGAGAGAGACGATCCGGCTACCCTCATTCTCTCTGTGCCACATGTTTAGAAAGTACAAGCCTGCACTAGCTTTAGAAATTCCTAAGAGGTGAGAGGATAGTGACAAACACAAAAATGAAAGACTGCAGAAAACATCACACCTTCAAGTCATTTCTAACTGCCATTATTGTTCTTTAGTGCTCCTCTTCTGAGATATTGTTTTAGAAGCAGTAAGAAGTTCCTCAAGAAATATTTTCACACAATTGAACAGGAATGTAACACTTGCTGCTATCATTTAAATCCTCCTCACATGCATGGATGCTGAGGTGTGGTGCTTTGCACAGAATTACCTACTCAGCATGATGACAATATCACTACGCACACTAATATTAATCTTTTCTATCCGAAAACAGTGCTGGACACTTAAGAGGATTTCTCAGTGTCCTCTTTGCAATGAACAAAAGCAAACATGTAATAATTATTTGATGGTTTTTCATCGCTGTAAGCATCGATTTCTCTCAAGGAAGGCAATAGTAACTGTGGGCTCCTCCCATTCTGTACCTTACAGACCATGAAGTTCCATTTTGTCTCGCCTCCAGATTCCATCCCGGCCCCCAACACTCTGACCTCAGCAACAGACTATGCCACAATTATTACGCTGTTCAACTGCAGACCCTCTCCAACATCAGTGTGGAAATTAGTTGTTAAATCACTCTAGAATCAATTACTGAATATAATAACTCAGTCCCACTGGAGACTACATAGCTACTTCTGCATGGATTTTTTTTTTACTGAGCTTGCACAGCAAAACAACTGCCAAGACTGCACAGAGACACATGCATTAGTATGCTTTTACTGCTAAACATGCATTCTTCAGGAAGACTGATAATTTTAAAGTCGACTGCAACCTTCTAAGAGGAAGAAGTTAAAAAGGATAAGAAAAGTATAAAGCTAGACACACATTACAAATTGTAGTATATTTCCTATCCACAACTAGAAAACAATTATAATCACTGGTTTGTCACTTACTTAGGCTGTTCAAGTTGGCAATTCTTTCAATGCAGTTTGTAGACAATGAAAGCTTCCTTTAAAAGCAAGAACAATCAACTCTCAGAACAAAAGGAATCACTATATTAGAAGAGTTCCACATCTAAACACCACTGCGCTAGACATATCTGTCTGTTCTTCTCTCAAGCATCATGATTTCTGTGACTTTGTTTAGCTTCTAGGAAAGTACCACATGTTCCTAACTTCACATACAGGATGACCTTTGTAAGCACAGCCTTAACAAGTGCACAGAAACTTAGTTCTGAGGCAGTTCTAATTTCTTTTGGAAAGCCCTGACTCTGTCTCTTTTTTTCCTCTGTCTTATTGCCTACACAGACAACACTACATTTTTCTCAGCTAAACAGCAGCTGAACTGACTTGGTACCTAGAGCTAATTAGATAACCTGCATGCCACTACATGTTGCCATTTGGGCACATTAGCCAAATTAGTACAAATAGAAGAGAATGCCTGGTTTCCAATTTGTCTTTAGCTTAACTTACTCGCAGTTAACAAGAGTGGAGAGAGATTCATCCATCTTCTCTACAGGAGGAATCTGGCCGTACAGTTTCACTTCTTTTGCCTCTGAAGCCTTCTGGCCATTTTTTTCTTCCTAAGGAAAAGAGAAGGTAAAGAATATGCTCACTGCACAAAATCTCTAAGAACTGTTGTACTAAAACATTCCTATGAAAGTAATTACTACAGAGGTAATTCCAATATGTTAATAAAAGAAATTACTGAAAAGAGAAAGCATTTTTAATACTGTGCTTCAAGAGCCCTGCTAGTGCAGTATAAAGAGTGGAAGAGTAGCTTAGTTCCAACATACTAAAAGCAGATATACATTAAATACCCTTTTTTTTTTTCTTTTCTTTTCTTTTTTAAATTGGAGTTGCATTTAATCAAATTAATTCAGGTGTCCTCTACTGACAAGAAATTGAGAATAACTGGAGGTCTGAAACTCTGAATCACGGTGAAGACTGACATGTGGGAGCCAGAAGCCTACGTAGCAGAAACACATTCTTAAAATCTCTGACAGAAATCTCCTTTCCTCTTCACTCAGAAAACTCAGAACTCACACCCATCTCGCAGCACAAACTCAGAAGGCAGGGAAGTGCATTCTGGGCGGAAATCTCAACAGCACTTTCCTCAGATCTTCCCTCAGCTTTAACCATTTTTATAGCTCCCACGTATTCCTCCTCCTGAAATGGGAGCTGTGACTGCTGCTCCCCTGAGGTGGCGCTAGCGCTCAGCCTCAAGCCCCTAACTCAGCTCTACCTCCTACAGAACACACATGAAAAGAGAAACTGATCACACTCTTCACAAAAAATGGAAGAAAAAACAACAACAACAAACAGTGTAGGACAGAAAGGAGAGAGCTCTGAGTCTGGACTGATAATATTCCACCTTTGAATCAAAGGCCAATTAGAAATCAGAGAAATTGCAGTGTAAAGTAATAAATCCTGATAGTTCACAGAATTCTCTAAACAAACAAAAAAATCCCTTCTAGTTAGTCATTAGAAAGGAGTGGAAGATTTCACGCTTCAGAGAGTACATTAGAAGACAGATTTTCTATTTACAACTAAAGTTGGTGACTTTCTAGATTAAATACTTTATAGAGTTCAGAGATTTGGAAGAATTGTCATAACTGCAGCATTTGGGTGTGTTTATTAAAAAAATACACCCTGTGAAATCTTTTAAAATTCCAAAGTGATGGTAATTATCCACTCAAGACTTGGACCGAGTATCTTTTTCAGCAGTAACACCAGTTGTGACAGCTGCTTCCCTGACAGCACAAAGGGAACGCTCTGTCGATTCACTCGGCACTCAGTGGGAAGACTGGAGCTCTGTTAACAAAGGGGAAATCTGTTCTGTTTTCAAAACAAGGAGTCTTGTTTTCTCCCCCATTTTTATGCAGCTAATGAAAAGTGAGAGAGCTGAGGTCAGTTTTCTATCTTTACTTGAGAAGAAAATGAATTGCTTCCCAGAAACATGTAAGAATAGCACAGCACACAAGATCAGACATCATTTTGTCTTACGTGCCCAAAATACTTCAGGCAACTTAATTTAATAGAGCATTATTATGTTGCCATGTTTCACTAAAAATTCCAACCTCTGTCCAAATTCAGTACGATAGGATTTTTATTCATAATTAGCAATTTAGTAAACAAGTGCGCCACATGTTTTGCTAGAATATGGTGAACTGCTCAAACTGAGTCACTACACAAACTTGAAACTTCAATTTCCTTTGCTAACGACAAGGACAACCGTGCATCTATCTGCATTTAGCCTTGGCTTATAATCTTACAGTCACCTTAAACCAACAGACAAAATTACATTATCTCTTAAAACAGGACAGAGAGGGAGCCCCTAACATGGCCTGTGGTGGAGAGTGTGCAGCTGAAGAAAGAAGATTCTTCCAGGCTGCAACCCACCTCTGAAACAAACCTCAGATGGAATACCACCATAAGCACTGAGAAACCACGGGTAGAAGAGCACTTTTTTTAAGCACAGGCTACCTGGTTGCCAAGTTAAAGTTGCTTTGATTTAATTCATTTCGTTCTGACTGTAGAACACAGGTAAACCATTATGCCAAAGGGAAGAAATACATCTGGAATGCAACACAACAGCAGATCCAATGTTATAAATCACACGGACACACATTAGTAGCAGGACAGGGAAAATTTTCCTCCTCCAAAACAACATGAACAGAACAGCACACTCAGCACTTTGTAGTTAACATAAATGGAAACTCGCTGACATGGATCTACTGCTCCTGAGAGACACGTGACAAAGGAGCAAATGTGAAATAAATCTTTAACAGAAAACATGAAGTTCAGGTTTTGGAGGGCAGAAAGAGTGAGAGAGGAGAAGGAAAAGCACTTTAAAAAAAACCTCAGCTCATATCTCTAGGAATAGAAACATCTGTAAGCTGTTGTATTCTCACCAAGGGAGCAAGAGTGGAGTTCGTGGGTGAAAATAAAAATAAATGTGAAAGACTGAAGGTACTAAATGATGACTGTATTAAAACAGTACTTTAAAAACAAGAAAGAAGCTCAGCTTTGCACGGTGCACAATGTGAGGGACAGCACTACCTGCCAATACAGAAGGTTCACTGACTTCAGTACAGTCAGTATTTCATATTTGTTCACCCTGTGGGAAGAACCGTACTCAGGTAAAATGCACAGGGCATAATGCAACATACAGCACCTCCAACTTTAAATTTCTTTGTAGCCTCAGGCCTTCTATCAATGCATATTCAGCAGAATACGGTGAGAGAGCAAAACAGGCTCATCTTTACCAGACATATCAATTTAGCAAGACCACACAGAAAATCCAACAGAACTGATTATTATTCGATAATAGGAATAGAATTTTTACTCTGTGAAACTTCTAGCAGACATCTGTTAGAGTAAGCCTGAAAAAAAAGAAAATTAAATATAGTAAAAATCCATGCCACTGAGTACTGCAAAGCAGCTAGATACTGTTTTATTACTTACCCATTTGGCTAGAGCTTCTTTGATAGTTGTTGCTTTTGCCTAAAACAAACAAATTAAAATGAATGTTCATTGCAAATTTTCAACTGGCTTCTTCACTTCTCCCCTTTTTCTTTTCCTGTCCTGCTTTTCCCCTCTCTTCCACCACTTCCCTGCAGGATCTTCCTCTAGCTGATGCTCGGAAGCTACGACTCCTAGAGTGGCTCTTCATTTTATTTTGGGGAACTCGGAAGCATTTTCAGAAGTAATAAGCTGGACTTCTGAGAGCACATTATTCTACTGACTTTATTCTCTTGCCCAGCTTGGAGCATAATCTGGGCACTGTCACCTCTGACAGTGAAATTCAACTGAATTCAAGGGCATTAGAAATTACTGCACTGAAAAATGTGGTCTGACACTCTTATGAAAACACACTATCACTGTGCATTAGTAATCTCCTGCTCATCTGTGAATAGACAGAATGATAAAGCCTGTTAGAATTCACTGGGGAAAAGAAGATACCTCTTACCAAAAAATTAAGAGCAATCTGAAATGTGTATATTTCTTTTTTTTCTAACAATTTTGTCATCAAATCACGTAACATGAACACATATGTTATCAGTTAAAAACAATCTGAGTGCTCCTGTAGGAGGCTCTTCAAGGTTTGACTCACTGAGCAACCTTTAGGTGCCACTAACTTTCAACTTTTCTGCCTCACATCAGTCCCATTACAACCAGATGGCAATATCCATAACAGTAGTATGAAGAGAAACTGATATATCCTGAACACATTCAAAGACATTTTTCAAGTTAAAAAGGCTCCAGAGACCGACATCCCACCAGCACTGACCAACAGCCTCCTTCCTAGCAAGCCAGTGTAGCACAACCACACATGGCAGCTTTTCTGGTCATCAGATCCCCTCAAAAATGGGAGAGGGAAGGAAAAAAGGAAAAAAAAAGAAAAAGAAACATAGCTAAGAAACTACTGCCAAAAATCTCAGGGGAATTCACCCCAGGTCACAGAGCTTTAATACCAGATACTTTAGACCACTGAAAGTTCTGGACTCAGTGGTAAAAGACCCATGATAGCTGCCAAGAGAACAGCTACAGGCACAGAATGCCCAGCGACACTTATACTCATCCAGACCAAGGACTTTGAGCTTCATCTTGTCTGTCCCACACAGCAGCCAGCTCCAGGCCCAGCTGCAGACAGGGGGTGAACTTCTGCCACAACACAGCCTCCTTGGCGCCTGCTGCAAGCCAACCCAAGTGATCACCTCTTGCTCGGAACACAACCCCAGCTCCTGCTCCAGCAGTCTTCCTGAGACTCCAATTAGCAGCCATAGCAGTGTGACAGCTAAGCCAAGTGGCTTCTAGTTGTTTCTTTTTTCAGATGGGAAGTTTCCAGCACTTTTCCACAGTTCTGCTAGCTCACTGTTGCACTATTTGAGGCCATGGCCTCAGTCCCTCACAGAGCCTCCTGCTGTCCCAGCTCCAGGCATAAAACCAGACCAGATTTAAAGCGGAGAACCAGGTGCACACAGAAACAATCAGCACAGGGCTTATCAAGAGAACGTGTGCCAATGACTTTGTATTGCTCTTTGAAGCGCACTGGAAATTTCCCTAGATAAGCAGCCTCCTGCGGCAGAAGGCACTATGGCTGATGGGGAAGCCTCCCTCGGAAGGCTGCTTTCGGAGTCCCCAGATGGATACTGAACAACCTGCTGCAGGAATGGAGGTGAAAGAAAGTCACACAGCCTCAAGAGCCATCAGAGGCTGAAGCGGACACCTGAGACATCGCCATCAGGGCTCCAGGAACAAGAAATATAACATCTTAGCAGAAAACAAATGTATTTAAGCTATAATGGTTGAAATATTCTTCTTCCCACAAAGAGGTCTTTTGCGCACGGGGCGTACCGACACCAAGCATTTACAAACTTCGGTCCCGCCAAGACACCGGCGAGGCGCTGCCTTCGCTTGCATCCATTTTTCGGCAGTCAGGAGCGGGTCGGAGCCGCCCGGCAGGAGAAAGCAGGCCCGTCCGTGCGGCACCGCAGACGCCGCCGCCCCACAGCCGAACGCCGGGAGCACCTCTCACGCGGCGGCACCGCAGCATCCGCGGGCGGGATTCCTCCGCTCCCGCCGCCGCGAAGCCTCCCGGAGCCCCGCTTCCCAGGGCACGGCGAGGCCGCACCGCCCGTCCCACGCGAGCACCGCTTGGGGACGGCGCCGAGGGACCGCCACCGCCCTGCCTCGCTCGCTCTCGGCCCGGAGCGGGGCCCCCCGCCGCCGCGTCTCGGGGACGCCCCAGCACCGTCTCCCCAAGCCGCCGGCCTTCCCCGCGCGCGCGGCCCTCCTCCCCCCGCCCGGCTCTGACGGGACCCACCATCGCCGTCGCTACCGTCGACGCTCCGGTTGCTAGGGCACGGCCGTCTCCCGCGCATGCGCGGCGCCGCGGACGCGTCGGGGCCGAGGGGCCGAGCAAGGAGGCCGCGCCTGGCGACCGCGGAGCTCCGCCGCCGCGCGCGGGCCCGGCCCGGAAGTCGCGTAGGGGGCGCTCCGCGACGCATTGTGGGACGCGGCGCAGGGGCTGCCGCGGTCCTCAAGCCCGGCCCGGCTCCGGTACCGACAACAGAAAGGCCACGCCCCGCCTCCGTCGCCGTGCGCTTTTTATTGAATTAAAATCGCTCTGTGAAAGTTACAGCGGTTGGCGGGGGACGACCCTTGCCCGGGCCGCCCCTCACGGAGCCGGCGCCCCCCCGGCTGCTGCCCGCGCTTCTTCAGCCCTAAAGCGGGTCCGGATCCCCACGTTGCCTTCGCCTCCTTCGTGCGGCACCTCCGCGCCCGGCTCATCAGGTGAATCCAGCCGTCGGAGAAACGCTACGGGACGTCTGCCGTGGAAGGCATGCAAACGATGTAAGTGATACTTGAGCCGGGCACCCAGCTTAGCTTTCCTTCGCTTCGGGCAGTGGCTGCGCCTGTCTTTGCGGTGTCTGTAAAGTAGTTTTGGTCTCCCAGCAGCGATGTGAAATACAAAACACTAGTACAAAAACTGGTCGGTTTCCTACAAGCCATCTAGTGAATGTTCATGTTCAGAAGCATCCTGACCTGTCCACCAAAGTATCTCCACAGTAAAATAATAACATTTTATTTAAACAAGGGAGGAGAAATAAAGATACCTCATTGCCAAACAAATGAGCTACTCAAAACACAGTATCTAATTCTCACACTGCCTTGCTTTTAAGTAAGTACTTTATTTGTCTTTAAATCGCAGGTACCTGATGATATCTAATATTGAATTACTTTAAGGGCTTGATCTTTTAAAACAAAGTTCGGAGACTTTTAAGCTACCTGTCATGGTTTGGGTTTATTTTTGTCCATCTCATTTCCGAGTCTCCAGCTTGCAGTGCTGCACAGCAACTGATGAACCGTGGTCAGACTGCAGTACGGAGACAGGTATCAGTCCTGAGCGGGTCATGAGTGTTAAGGCAGGTCGTTTGTACTGGCAAGGACAGACAGAACAAGAAACCTATATGCAACCCTTTTCTCAATAGCTGCAACTTGGAAGAAAGGAAGGGCAGTAAGGATGAGCAGTGCCTCAAGGTGCACATCACAGCAGGATGTGCTGTGGGACTCCTGGGGCAGCTAGGATGAGTGGAGGTCCGAGCATCAGATAAGGCTCTGCAAAGGCTCTTCAGCCAGAGAGTTGAGGAAGGCTGGGTGTGAGGACATCTTTGCTGGAGTTAAGTGGATGAAGTTTATCTTGTAAGGAGTGTATGGTTAAATAACTGGCAGTGATGGTGTGTGGAGAACAAGTGACTTAACTCAAATGATAAGGAGTAATATGAGCTGCAGAAAGCTAATCAGGCCTGAACATAATGGTAGTCAACTGGAGAGAAAAGATCCCTGAGAGCAGAGCAAAAGTCACTATCGTTTATGACGGTTTTGTTTCTTTTTGGGCAGCTCTGAAACAGGTCTGACTTGGAAGGAGAATTCTATCAGTTGAAGCCCCTATTAAATAGGCCTTCAGCATTGGCAAGACCCTCGTCACAGACAAGAGTCATTTGGGAAGAAATTGTTTCTTTCTACCTAAATGGTAGAGAACAATAAGATACTAGGATTAATTAGTATGAAAAACAATCTCAGGCAGGCTGGGTCAGAAGATCCCAGATTACCCTTTTCTTTAGTATTATTTTGTATTATGATCATTACTGCAAGAGGACAGCTTTTTACAACCTGTCTCACAGTCTTCTACTTGCCAGCTCTTCTGTCTCTCACCTTCCTTCCTAATAACAGCTGTCAGCATCTGTTGACACCATTAACGAAGAGTTCCACACGTAATTAAACTGTAGCTTAATAGCAAGTGTTAATTATTTAAAACAAGTAATGAGAGAAGCAAGATTTGCAGATGGTAATAACTGCATTTAACTGTGCTACACAACACAATATCAGTACTCCCAAGACTCAACTGCCCACCCAAGGCATTACAGGAACAGATGGTTACATCCCCAATTCAGGACACCACTGGTGCTGCCTGCCTCTATAGTTGGAAGTACTCTTCCCTTTCTGGATTTAAGCATAGCTGTTGTTGGAAAGAGGCAAGATTGTTTCCAACAGAAGACCACTGTTTCAGGCCAATGTATAAGAAACTTATTAAAATGAAGATCCCCAGCTTTGTGCAAGTAGAAAACACATCCAAAGTACCAAAGTGTATGGCTATAAATCAGAAAGTTCTAGGCTAAAATAATCTGAGACCCGAAGCCAGAATCATTCATCATTTTGATACCAAAGTTCATGGCCCACAGGTTGCCAATGTTCTCCCAGGTGAAAAACAATCTCTCATTTCTAAGGGTACAGGCTGGCAGTGAAGTTCTTTGATTCATAAATACTGAAGCAAGAAAGCCTCTATCAGAAAGCACTTTCTTCAGACACTTGTTTCTTGATAGCATGACCAGTTCAGACCCAAATTTGTACTACAGTGCAGCCTACTTATTATCACTTCACTTCTCTTCGGCATACCTACTTAAAGTAACTTGGGCTAGTGCAAATCAATCCCTTTCTGTCTTGATTTATATATGTAACTGTCATTTGGCTATTTCGCATTTCAGAGCTTTTCTCAGTCAACACCTCCAATTCTCCAGTCATTGTGGCAGCTCAAGCTCAGCGACAACAACTTACAGGTGCTGAAGTGTTCATCCCAGATGCAAGTGCAGAAACTCCCGAATCTTTCTCCAGGAGTGTTCCTGGGCATGAGCGTGCGCTTTGCTCTCTCCACCCCCCAACACAGGCACCCCCAGAACACGATCCAGAGCTACCTGACAAAATGGAGTAGAAGGAGGATCGATTCGGTGGCCTGCTCCTGGATAACTCAGCAGTTCAAAGTTTTCTTTCCCATGCTGGCGTAGGCGCCCAATTGCTAGCTCAGCGTATAAGGAGCTCTTCCACATACGATCAGCTTCCCCTACTACTAGGAGAAAGTGACCTTCTGCTTTTTCTATGGGGATTGTGCAAGAGGAATTGGCAGGATTTGCTGGGTCATCCAGAGCTTCAAAAGTGTCAAATACACCAGTGTCAGAAACGCTGACCTTATTCATATCAAAACGCAGCCCAGGCAGAGTTGTCTCACCATAATGGAGGTCTGCAACCGTGTTCGAACTACAGCCGGAGATACAGACAGCAGCCACTACTTCTGGTAGGAAGGTGATCATGGAGAGTGCTAATTCTGCACCTTTCCCAGTCCCAATCACTCCAACTCCTGGCCCCTTCACCTTCAGATTAAGATGCGGTTGCAGGGAAGAGAGGAAGAAAGGAATAAATACATGTTATAATAGGGTTAGCCGTTAAATGTCTTTGAAGTTGTGTTATTAAAAAGAAAAAAAGTTAATTATTGATGTGACCTGTTGGAAAGCTATAGCCTGGACCCAGACTTCTTCAGAGCCAATAATAAATGTCAAACACAGTAAAATAACACTGGTATCACATTTGTGCTAGGAACAACAAGTACAATCACTTGGAACTCAACCGCTGTGTATTTTCTTGCAAATATTTTCCCCCAAACAGGTAGCAGGAAATTCAAATACAGTCAATTACAAAATATGTCCCTGGCACATAAAGTCATCTCACAAATGACATTTGAGAATTAGATATGTATTCAGCCTTTTCCTGTTCTAGCCTGGAGAGTAAAACAAAGGAACATCTCAAGTTATCAAATCAAATCATCTGTAGCACTGAGCAGTGCTGTGCCACCCTCTTGTAAGCTAACTGCTTTCATTAAAACAACAAACAAAACCCCACATAATCACCACATACGTACATCACCACTGTTCCAGCTGAAGGTTGTTCCAGCACTTCATTGTCCTCGTGATCAGCATTTGTCAATTTTCCAATGTGCATTTATTTAATGGCCTGCTTGTGGTGGAAGAAATACACTCTGCAGTGATACGCATTGCTGCCTACGTAGGACCTACACTTCTTCCATTACGGAGCCTAAATCTGCCCAAAGACATTCCAAGAAAATCACTGCCACCACGTGGGCATGGCTACCAAATCTTCCCTAGTTCCTTGTCTGGAGAGATCTCTCCTTACACTCACCTTTGGGTGACGCTGTAGAAATCTAGCTGCCTCCTCAAAGTACTCAAGTTTAAATTCTTTCATGACCTTAGGCAGATCTTCAAAGTCAAAATATGGCAGAGAAAGAGCTGCAAAACCACGGGTAGCCAGGAGACTGGATCTAAATTCAACCAAACCTCCTTCATCACCATACATGTCAATGACTCCTGGAAAGGGGCCATCCCCTGGATTGAGAAGAGGTACAGAGCACAAGTTATCAAACAGGACTCTAAGAAGTATCTAGCTAAGTTCGAAAATCAAAATATAGAAAGCATTAGATGTTTTCTGTAACTACTCATAAATTTTCCATTTGTACAGCTGAGATTACAGACTGGTGCTGTGTGTGACTTCAGCTAATTCAGGTTCTGAGCTTCCTATGAAAGTAAGAGAACAGCTAAACATATTTTGTTAAAAAAACTGTTTTCTCAGTGTATTTTGCAACGATCTTAAACTCTCACCCTCAGAACAATCATGCTTCAAATCAGCTCTTTTTCCCACAAAGAAGCCATTCCTTAATTAGCAAAGTGAAAACACGTTACTCATGAGGCAATAGCATTAAGGCCAAGGATATACAAATCCCGAAATAAGGCACACCAACAAAAGCACAGCAGAGACACCCACTGCAGGATGAAATCAGCTCAACTCACTCGCTCTATCTCGGCATCAGCACTGTCACAGCCAGCAGCCAAATTGCTATTGCAAGTGTGAAATGACAGAGTAAAACTGAGAGCCGCGTGGGTGCACTTAGGTGTGTGTGACTGATGCACAGATAAACATGCATATATGTGCTTGCCCTGTAAAACTACAGGGATTTCCAGAACCACAACTTCAAGCAACCATGATTTTGCAGTGAAGTTTGTGTTGTTTATATTTCAGTCTGTTATTCTAACAGATTTTGTGTTAAAAGCTCTTGCAACCATAAAGAGCCCGGGTATTTTGGGGGTTTATTCTGGGGAGGTGTAGTGTCTTGCCACCAGATGTCACCACTGACAGATTCAGACCCAGATCACAGCTCTCATTAGAAAAAGTACCCTTTTGTGCAAGAGTGCATTGAGCCTCTGGCATTATTTTTATGCTGCAAAGACCTCTGATGTTTCAAGGTGCTTAAGAAGATTTGGGCAAGACACGTTAGATTGGAGAAACCTCCTAAAGAAATGCAAAAAAAGTCAGAAAAGTGCTGAAACATGCTTTTGGGTTCTTTGTCAGTTCCAAAACTTCTCATTAAAGTTCAGTATTCTGTATGAGAGCAAAAACAGTAGCATTCTTTTTCTCACCCCTACACATTCTAGTGAGAATGTGCAAGCAGGACACAGTCAAGGTTATCTTCTCTTTCATGAAGATAACCTTCAACTTACACGAGGACACCCAACTGCCTTCCTGAATGCCTGCAAAGCCCAAGCGTAGTTTCTCCACAGTTCACAAAAAAGCAGGATAACTTTCTAGACAACTTTATTACTACTTAAAAAAGATTACAGCCTGTAACTTTATAACTGAAATGAGAAATATCTTTCATACCATAATTGCAGCACAAACCCATTTACGTAATCTCACTTTTACCAAGGATGGCTGACCTTTAAGGTTCCTTTCTCAACAATCCCTGAAGCAAAGAAAGATACGGTGGTAATGTCGTAACTGGATCCTTTATTTAAAAGGATGCCAGCATCATTTAAGCAATGATCTCGGACTTTTCCATAGTATTACAACACCAGACTTTCTGAAGGGAAAAATACAGTTCCAGATTGCAGATCTCTGGATTTCCACTGAGTTCAGCAGAAATTCAGCTCGTTCTCTAAGGCAGGATGTATCAACCACATCTCAGCGTCAGATATTTCAGAATGCTGACTAAACATTTGATCAAACATTCAAAGTCCAATCTATGTTGGGTTTTTTTTTTCCTTCTTTAGCAGACTTTGGATCCGTACCTAAAAGGTTAATAAAGATTACTGGTTTGGAAATCATTCACCAAGATTTTAATCCCTGATAATTGTAGCAGTGCTTACAGGATTTGCAGAACCAAGCTATTCCAGAGGCAATACGGATGGCAGTTCTCACAGTACAACAGCCAGTGAAACACAGAAGTTTAAATCATATCTGAAGCATTCCAACACCACCAGCAGTGTAAGGTTTCAACTTCCAGCAGCCCATCGGAATGTCACACCTCATAGAACACAGCCATCCCACGGGGAGAACAGGCAGAGCTTCTTCAGATAACGATTTGTATTTATACACAGAACAACAGAACTTGCTAGAACTTGCTAAACTAGCAGCTTAGCTTGAGCTCTGGCGTAACAGAACCGTAATGCTTTATTACAGAGTCTCCTCTGCGGCTCTGCTTATCGGCATATGCTTTGCAGGGAGAAAAATTGCCTCTTACACTTAATCCTCAGGATAAAATCCTGCACAGAGGCTCACACGGTCAAAGCCTATCACCTTTCCTGAGCGTTATGGGTTCCGAGAGCTCAGGAAAGAAACCACAATCTATAGAATCTCCCAGCCCGAGAGCAGCGGCGTGGAAAACGACAAGCCTTCATCTCGCTCAGCTTCCACCCACGCCAGAGGCACCTGCCCGCGCCTGCGCTGCTGACCGGCACGGAGCAGCGTCCCCAGAAGAAGGCGACTGTCCTCGGGCGGCCTTCGGTGCTGCTCTGGAACACGGACGCCCCCGGTGACCCCCGTTCCGGGCAGAAGCCGGGCCCCACTCACCCGGCGGCAGGAAGAGAGAGCCCCTCACGCCGCCCTCCTTCAGCCGAATCCTCCTGACGCCGGGGGCCGTGAACCACCTCTCCACCTCGGCCTTGGCCATCACCGGCCCGTGGATGGCGCCGGACTGGCTGTGGCCCCGGTGAACCAACATCTCCACCTTCATCGGGATGCCGGTGCTGCGGGGGACGAGCCGCTGGTACGGCCTCTCCATGCCCGCGGGCGCCAGGCTCCAGAAGAGCCCCATGGGCTCCACGCCGGTGTAGTCCCCGCCGTGCGAGGCGTCCGTGCCCAGGTGCAGCTCGCCGCGGCCGTCCGCTCGGTAGTGCGCGCACGACTGGAAGAGGCAGCCCCGCTCGTCGGACGCCACCGCCCGCAGCGTCACCGGCTGCCCCGGGCCCAGCCCCGCAACCCGCGTGTCCACCCGCTCGTCCGCCAGCCCGGCCGCGGGGGTCACGGCCACGCTGACCGCCCTGCGCGCCGGGGCGCGGCGCACCGCCCACGCGGGGGCCTTGGCGGCGACCGCCGCTCTCCACATGACGGCAGCGCGGGGACGAGAGCCACAGAGCGGACGGCGCCGACGGCGGTAACGGCCGCCCCCGCCAGGCAGCCTCAATCGAGAGCGGAGCCCTCCCGACCGGCGGGCGTTCCTGCGGCGCCGGCGGCTCGGGGCGGCCTCGCTCACCGCCCGCCCCCGCGCAGCGTCCCGCCCGCCGGGAGCCGGGGGTGTGGGCGCGCGGCAGAGGGGCTGCCGGATCCCCGCCCTCCCGCCGCGTCCCGTCCCGCGTGCACAAACCAAGCTGTGTTCGAGTTAACGTTTCACTTTAATGAATTAGAAAAGCGCGGAGAGTGCAAGGTGCGTTAATAACCCGTGGAAATGACGCGCAAGTCGAACGCTGGATACAGCCAGTTAGCTGCGTGCGCTCAGCCTGCCGCTGTAAGGCACTGAAGGGTTTTTCAGGTAACCGCGAAGAGTCGCCAGCACTTCTCTAACAACATTCAGTGCTTTCTCTTTCACGTGCGTGCTCGGGAGCCAAAAACTGCTCGGCATCTCCAGAACAGAACCCCACTGCTCCCCACGCCTCCTAGAAAGCCAGAGGGGAAGCCTACCAGTTCTAGTATGTATACCCAGAATGCACTTTTGGGCTGTGGGCTGTTGTCATCTCTCCCTGGAGACGTGCTAGATGCTAGATCTCAAAATGGACAGAGTTAAGGCAGACACACAACTTAGTGACATGAGATTACTGGATGTTGATAGAGGGAACAGCTGCTTTCAGACAAAAAAGAAGTGCACTGTCTCCAGTAAGGACAGCAGCATCCAACACACTTCTTATAAGGAAGACTTACAAGGTAAATAAATTTTCATCCCACTTCTCAGCTGATTTCTTTCCACTTAAACTTGCATTCAAAACAGTCCCAGCCTTGTCATCATCATGCTTCCACATCCCTCCCACACTACACACAATGGGAGGCCAAGATATCACTGGGTGTTAGAGGAAGGTGTGGAGAGGATGCAACTCTCAGCCACCACCTGCTTGGGAAAAAAAACCAACTGTTTATTCTCTGATGTTCTTTGCTCTCATTCAGAGCCAATTAACAAAACAACTGTGAAACACAGAATGTGAAAAAATGTGAAACACTAGCATCTTCCTCTGTACAGTAACCCAAATCACATCATAACTTATTGGCTGTCCTGAAAGGCTCACCATTAAGATGTCTGTGGAAGAAAGCCTGGATCTGCTGCCAGGAGTCTATCTGTGCCTCACAGTGCGCCTTGGGCTCCCCACCCCACATCACAGGCATGCCAACCAGCAGGTGCATTGAGGCAGCACACATTGGGAAAAAAGGGGGTTCAATATAATGTCCTGCTCCAGGATAACAGATTATCTCAGGCTTTTCCTTCCCATGAGCTTGCAAACGTTTGCTCCCCTCAATTGCAAAGAATTCGCTTTTCCAGTTGTGATCATCCTGGCCAACGACAAACAAGAAGCGACACGTAGCTTTCTCCAAAGGGATAAAGCTTTGGCGGTCAGGCCCTTCTAAGGGATTGTTAAGTGCATCGATGATATCACCGATCCCAGACTTGTTGACCTTGATACGTTTTGTGTTGGCACCGAGGGGCGGGATGGTGACGTCCTTGTAGCGGACCACTGCGCCCACGTTTGCCACCGAGCCATTGATCACAGCGGTGGCCGTGATGCCCTTCAGGAAGGAGGCCATTGAAATGCATAAATCACCCCCCTTGGAGAAACCGAGCAACCCAATCCCGGGACCTTTAACCTGGAAGGTAAAGAAACAGAAATCATGATCAGTGAAATATGCAAACCATTTCTTGAAAGTGCTGCCGTGTCAACACAGCCTGTCCTGATCTGCACTGCAGGTATAAGCATCTAAGGTCCTGTGTGCAAGGGACCCTGCAGCACTGTTCTGTGCTTGGCTTATGGCCAGAAGCCCTGCTGAGACTGCAGCAGCATCCTAACAAAACTACAAGGCCTCTTCATTTTCTTTTACACAGACAAACTATAATAGGAAAGCTAAGTGATCTCACAGGGTGCTGAAATTCAGGGTGTCAATGTCACAACAGCTCCTACATTCAAAGACCCTCAGGGCTAAAAAGGCTCTGAGAAAATGCTGAAATTTAGTATCTTTTGTACTTTATCACCAGCATGAGAAGCTCTACACCCACCGAGTCTGAAGCAGAGAAAGGGGGTAATTTGAAAACATGGCTAAAATTTTGCCAAGTGTTAAAAATGTGGCATGAGAGAGGCATCAGTGAAGGTGTTAACAAGAGTCTACAATACTGTTCTCAAGGGAGAGAAGAAAAAGAAAAAAGTGCAAGATTTGGGGCATAGGAGTGGCATATGAAGTTAGGGTTATTGCAACAGAAAGGCCACCAAGGCCTTTATTCATCTTTCTAGGAAGGTATTTATTTTGAGCTCTCCAGAGAGGTCAGACATTGCCATGTGGAATTCTAGCTATTGTCATGTGCAGCTACTTGGAAAAAGATGCAGAGCTAAGCAGGGCTCTCTTCCAGGAGGTGCCACCTTAGGAACTCAGCTGAATTTGCAGCCAGCTACCAAGAAGCACATGCACTACATATCAATATTTGGAGTGACTGTAACTACAATACACAGCAACAAATGTGTATTTATAGACTTCCTTGAGCCTTAGATCACAGAAGCATATCACGTGCTCCAAGGTTAAAAAAGCCATTTAGTCCTCAAGCACATTACATGGAATGTAAACTTAAAAGCCCCACTGGAAGCCTGATGTGCCTCTAGGCAACTGGTTCCCTTGTTAGGACACTGGATTGAACAAAGCAGAAATAACTAGTATGTGACTCCACGTCACTGTGTCACCTGGCCAGTACAAAAGGAAGAGCTGGAATTATCTGCTAGAGAGCCACTGTAATGGGAGTTAAGGATATGAAAGGAATTATTGTCAGTTGACCTGAACAGAGATGCTATTCCAAATACAACAGCTTTGCCCCACTTGCAGGCTGGTAGGAGCTGACTAATGACAGTTCCCTGTAGTTAGGCTGTGTCGGTGTCTATACCAACCTGCTTGTGTTGTAACATATAGTTAACAGCTTCTTCAAAATATTCCAGGTTGATCTCCTTCATCTCTTTGGGGAGATCTTCATAACCATAGAAAGCCAGTGCCAGCACAGCAAAGCCATAGTTGGCCAGCAGGCATGCCCTGTATTCGGGGAGTCCTCCTCCAGTGCCATACAAGTCAATAACTCCTGGAAAGGGACCGTTTCCTGAAAGAGGCCACAAAATGGGACAGCTTGACCCATCATTTCTCATTTATATCCCAAATTCACAGGCCTGGGAATGTGCCTTCAAAAAACCAACCAACCAACCAACCAAAAACAAAAAACACACACAAAAGCACAGAATGGTAGTAAGCATTTCAAATTCTGAACTAGATTTCAGTAAATGACTGCACTGCTTCAAGATTGAACATTAAACAAAGGTACAAAACAGTTGCCTAGCCAATGTTTTACTGAACATAAGGAAACATATGACTGGCAGGGAAAGGATGATAGTCACAGCTAGCTGTCTGTATCATGTAAACTCACTGCAAACATAACAAACTCTGCTCCAAAAATACCCAGGAGGCTTTTCCCCACTGCATTTCTCAAAAAACTGACCCAAAAATCCCATCTGCCATGGTTCCAGCTTCTTAGTTTCAGTGTAAATGCACTATAAATTGTTTATTCTGGCACTAAGGGAAGAAAATATTTGCAACCAACCTTGCCACTCTCATGAGGGAGGCTGAGAGGAACTGCAGGAAACTGAAGACTAAAGGAGGAGGACAGAAGGAAGACTTCCATCTCTGCTTCCACACATGAGTGTGCGGAACTTGGGCAACAACTGGAAACTCACCACCAGCCACAGGGAGTACGAAAGAAGGTGCTGGCTAGGACATGTATGATTGCAGTGTTACAATGGAGAAGATACAAGGGACAGGCAAGGGAAAAAGGCAGGGGAGGGGAAAGTAAGGCATATACTACATAGAGATGCTCCTTGACCACATGGAATCCAGCACAAAACCAGAGACATGCCTGGTGAGCCTCTGGGTCACAGGGAGAATTAAAGGTGTGAATGTGGCGGTGGTGGTGGTGACAGCTGTAAATGAGCACCAGATAAAGATGGGAAATGGGAAGAGGCTTCCTACAGAGAACTAGCATAAGCCTGGGCAACTGCTGGGAAGACAACACAGGATTTGTAAGGCAATCAGGAGTAAGGAGGACCCCAGGGACTACAGGCCGGTGAGTCTTACCTCTGTGCCTGGGAAGATCATGGAACAGATCATTCTGGATGACAGGCATGAACACATGAGAAATGAGCGTGTGATCCGAGACAGCCAGCACGGCTTCACCAGGAGAAGGTCATGCTTGACCAATCTGGTGGCCTTCTATGATGGAGTGACGGCATCAGTGGACAAGGGGAAGGCGACCGATGTCATTTACCTGGACTTGAACAAGGCCTTTGACATGGTCCCCCACCACATACTTATCTCCAAATTGGAGGGACATGGATTTGATGGGTGGACCACCAGATGGATAGGAAACTGGTTGAAAGGCCGCAAACAGAGGGTGGTCATCAATGGCTCTATGTCCAGGTGGAGGCCGGTAATGAGTGGTGTCTCCCAGGGGCTGTCTTGGGACCGGTGCTCTTTAACATCTTTATCAATGACATCGATGACGGAATTGAGTGCACCCTCAGCAAGTTAGCTGACGACACCAAGCTGAGTGGTGCGGTTGATACGGTGGAAGGAAGGGATGCCATTCAGAGGGACCTTGACAGGTTGGAAAAGTGGGCCAGGGTGAACCTAATGAGGTTCAACACGGCAAAGTGCAGAGTTTTGCACTTGGGCCGGAGGAATCCCAGGCATCCATACAGACTGGAAGGAGCGGTCCTTGAGAGCAGCCCTGTGGAGAAGGACCTGGGGGCCTTCATAGATGAAAAGCTTAACATGAGCCAGCAGTGTGCCCTTGCGGCTCAGAAGGCAAATGGTGTCCTGGGCTCCACCAGAAGACGGGTGGCCAGCAGGGACAGGGAGGCGATTGTCCCCCTCTACTCTGCTCTTGTGTGGCCCCATCTGTAATACTGCGTCCAAGTGTGGAGCCCCCAGCAGAAAAGACAGGGAGCTGTTGGAGAGAGTCCAGAGGAGAGCCACAAAGATGATCAGGGGACTGGAGCACCTCCCCTGTGAGGACAGGCTGAGGGAGCTGGGCTTGTTCAGCCTGGAGAAAAGAAGCCTGTGGGGTGACCTCATTGCAGCCTTTCAGTACCTAAAGAGAGCCTACAGAGGGAAGGGGAATCAACTCTTTGAAAGAGTTGAAAGAGAGAGAGTGGTGAGGTGCTGGAACAGGCTGCCCAGAGAGGTCTTGGATGCCCCATCCCTAGAAGTGTTCAAGGCCAGATTGGATGGGTCCCTGGGCAGCCTGGTCTAGTATTAAATGGGGAGGTTGGTGGCCCTGCCTGTGGCAGGGGGGTTGGAGATTCATGATCCTTGAGCTCCCTTCTAACCCTGGCCATTCTGCGATTCTCTGATTCTGTGAATCAGAACTATGACAAAAATGCCATAATCACAAATGTGTGCAATGGTCTGCTTGACTTTCTACTCACAAATGGAGAGAAACAGGGCAAATTCATCAGCAAAAAGAAGCTTGGGCTGCAGCAACTCTGAAATGACTGAGTTGGGGATCTGGAGAAAGGCCAGGAAAGGAACCAACACAGTCAGGACTTAGGACTTTTGCAGAGGAACCCTGTAGCTAAGGTACACAAGGAGGAGCGTGGCAAGCAGGTGAAAGCTGACTGCGCCGATCGGGTTGCGCTGGCCGGCGAGTCCTAATTCTGCGCTGCCCCGGCACCGCGCACAGGGGCCTCCTGGGGAGACACTGCCAAAGGAGGCGGCACCGCGGACAGCGGACGGGGCCGCGCCGGTACTCACCGGGGGG